TATGTTAGTTTGTAGGAGTTTGACGACTCAAATTTGATACGCTGTCATCAAAGCTATCAAGTTAATACTACTTTACAAGGCAACTTTAGTATTGCTAAGTTAGTAGTCAAGAAAGTAGATAGGGTTAAAGTAACTCTGAGTCATTTTCCAATGAATACATATTTGTTTTTCAATACTTGACTCTTATGAAGACTCTGAAAAGGGTTAGTAATGCTATGCAATACTTAAAAATAAGAACGAAAATCTACCCTAATGAATTTGATGTTCAAGAATGTTGTGAGTTTAATCGAAGAACAAATGAGAAACTTTAAAACAATTATAATGAAATAGGCTAATTCCATTATTTTTCCAAGATAGATTCATCATCGGTTATTCACAGATCATTGTTCAATTGATTATTGTTCGGGTTTCAAATTAATTAAAATACATTCTTAATTAACTTGAAGGCAATCATACAGTTAACCAAAGTAGATTCTCAATCAAATGCAAGACCTTTCTAGATTATTCACAATGAATTCAACCAAAGTTCATTCTCAATAAAATCCTATTGTGTTTAATCATGTCTATTCTTAAATCTCCTAACCAAATCAAAAGTTAATTAATCAAAGTAAATTTTCAATTAATTATAGTTGAAATTCTTACCACCAACCAAAGTACATTCTCAATAACTAACAAAAACCAGTTTAATCATATGAAAGTTCCTAAATTCAATCAAAGTAAATTCTCAATCAAACCTAGAAACCCTTGAACTCATATGATTAATATGCATAAAGATGTAAACACCTTATGATGCAAAAATTATTACTTTTAATATGATTAAGAGATGAAAGACATAAAAGAAGAATAACTAAAATCAATAATCAAAATTCATGCCCTAAAAGCTTAGACCTCTATGAATGGAGTGAAATACATGATAAAATAAAAATGAGATGAGTGGTGAATGATTGCTTCCAGTGGAGGAGTCTGATAATAAATGACTTATGATTTTTGCCTCCCTTGGATCTCTTTATATAGGCTTGATTGAAATTGGACTCTGAATACTATGTTGATAAAATATCTTATCTTATATTTTATATCTTTCAAATATTCAACATATTTAATCAATTTTTAAGAATATTTGATAGAAATTTCTTGTTGATATTTTCAAATTAAAATAATTATCTTTAAATATCAAGTGAGTTGTCTCTGAAATTCCATTTATGTCTTTCTTAATTTTCCAAAATTGTAGAAAAGCCTTGAAATTTCCTCTAATTGCACTTTAAATGAATAAAATTATAACTTCAGCTCCACAAATAAATATTAGAATATAAAACATATTTTATGCAACTAAAAATAACATTTTAAGCATTTTTAGTTTCCAAACCCGATAAATCAAATTGTCACAAATTCACTTTAAACCAACCATTTAAGCACAAAATCTCATCAAACTTTTGAATTTTAAAGTATAAATGTGGGCATAAATATGCACTCATCATAAATAAATGAGTAGTGTCACTTAAATTAATTTGTAGGAGTTTGTTAATGGTTTAGGAGTGACACTTTTACATTATATAACCTAATCAATTAAAATTATTTTCTATAATATAATAACAAAATAATAAGATAAAATAATGAATATTAATAATAAAATTAGATGCTATTTCACAATTTTTTAAAATTCATCACACTTGTAAAATCATTAAAGAACTTTCTAGTCATTTTTTTTTTCATTCTCATTATCTTAATCCAAATAGTCAGATTTTATATTATCTTTTCCTTCACTTCATTTTTCCCCCTTAATCCAACACACCTTAGTTACATTATAAATAATTATGTTAAGATGTACTTTTAAGGCTTTTGCTAAGCTTCGCTAGTGCAAAAACAACGTATAACGTCACGCGTTTAACGTCAAACCACTAAATAGTCAACATTAAAAATGACAAGTGACATTTTTGTAAATAAATGCAATTATTAAACGTCATTTATAATTGTAATTCGACGTAAAAAGATATAAAACGTTGAATGTTCTAGTGTTAGACGTTAAAAGGTTAGTGAATTCAATAAAAATTTGAGCGGGAGATTGAAAATTCATTCAGTTTATCTTAGCGCGCGAGACCCTCTTCTCTTCTCAAACTTTTCTCAAACGAAGTTTGACGACCATCACAGGTAATCTTTCTTTCATTTGATACAAATGCATGTTAATTAACTACTTTATGTATGATTTTCATTTGTTTTAACTGATTATTTTCGTGTTCTTGTCCTTCATAGATGCATTATGCTTTCTTTCTCACGGGTGACGACACTTTATTCCGATGAACCCACTTTTTGAAGGTTAGTTTTCGTTTTCGTTTTGAAGAACTTATTTGTTGAACTTGTTTTGAACTTGTTTATGGTTGTTGTTTGGTTGAACTTGTTTGTCATTGTTGTTTGGTTGAACTTGTTTGTTGTTGTTTGATTGAACTTGTTTGTTGTTGGTTATTGTTATTTGTTGTTGATCAAAGTTTATGCTTTATAAAATACCAAAAACTTGAAATTTGTTGTTTTTCTACTTTTCAGATCTCAGATAAAAAAAATGATTAACATCGAATATTGACAAAATTTGACGTTAAGTTAACGTTGTATATTGACAAAATTCGACGTCAATTTAACGTCTCCTAATAAGACGTCGTTTGCAAATTCGCTCTTAAAAATCCAAAATATTTGACGTTGTATGCTATTTTTGTACTAGTGCTTATGTTTATCATTAGAGGTGATAAATATAGGTATCAAGTATTTACATCCAACTAAAATTAAAATATATATATATATATATATATAGATATATATATATATATATATATATATATAGATATATAGATATATATATATATATATATAGATATATAGATTATATATAGATATGAGAATTAGATATATAGATATATAGAATAATATAGATATATAGTAATAGATAATAGATATAGTATAGATATATAATATATGATATTATAGATATATAGATATATAGATATATAGATATATAGATATATAGATATATAGATATATAGATATATAGATATATAGATATATAGATATATAGATATCAGTTTAAAGTGCAATAAAAGCTTTTAGTTGGTTTTAGAAGTCACAATAACAAATTGACATGCTTTGGTAGGTCCTCCGTATACCTTATGATTGGATTGAGAATTTCATAATTTTTTAAACCTTAAATTTAAATTTATCTAATTTGAATTGATCTAATTTCAAATTGTTTAACTTTTTTTAAAATGTTTTATTTGATCAAGACAATTCAAATTAGTGAATTTTAACTTTTTCTTAGATAAAGTATGTCTATTACCATCAAATATAAAAAATTGAATATTAAATCATTGTTAAAAATTAAAAAATATAAAAAATTGATTATTTTTATAGTTGGTCTTAGTTAGTGTTATTTTTCGGTCAAAGTTCATCAATTTTTTTAACTGAGCAAAACTTTTCTCGATTGGCATTAACCGATATTGTTTTCACTTAAAGCCAAATACAATTATTTAAACTAATATCGATCAAGGTTATTTTTACGATGATATTTGAAAGTCTTTTGCCAAGTTTTTCTTATCTGTGTTGATTGGAAAAAATTTTCGATTGATAATGATAAAATATTCCTAACTAATTTTGGTAGAAAGTTTTCCAATAACGTTAAAAAATAATTCAACAAACTAGTGACAGAAATAACATTTCTATTGGTGATAAAAAAATGTTAAATATTGCCAAAAAGATAATCATGATAAATATCAATTGAAAAAAGCCCATTCACATTGTTTCAGTAATGGGTTGAGGTCCCTTAATCAAAACATTCCAAGTTTTTCTGAAAACTAGATGGATTTTCTAGTGGTCCTCCATCATCCAAGTTACGTTGTTTGCTCTCCCTCCTTCTCGTCAGTCGTGTGGGTGAATACTTGTCAAACGCACTCTAATGCTCAAGTCAATAATATAACCGATCAGTTAGCACAATAAGTGATGTATATGATGTGCATAATGATGATAAAGTCATACTTGAGACCTTTATTTATACTAGTTGTGATGGGTCTTTACCTTTACCACTGATAATCTAACCATATTGTTAAGTTATATGGGCATGACTTAGGCTTGAGTGAACAACTCGGGTGGACAGTCTAGAAGGACGACATGGATGGATGGTTGGAAGGACGACTTAGGTGGACGACCTAGAAGGATGACTGGGTGGATGACCTAGGTGTACGGCCTGAGAGAATGACCTGTGTGGACGACCTGAAAGGACGACCTAGAAGGACAAGCTGGGTGGACGGGATGGGTGTTCGATCTGGATGATCGGTCTGGGTGGATGACTTGAAAGGATGGCCTGGGAGGACGGTCTAAGAGGACGACCTAAGAGGATGACCTGAAAGAATGGCCGAGAAGACAACCTGAGAGAACGACCTAAATGGACAACCGAGATGAGCAACCTAAGTATTCGACTTAGGTGGTGCTTAATCCCAAAAACAGATAGTACATTACACACAAGTGTAACAAACCATACTATACACACATGTTAAAGAAAATAGTTTTTCGACATAGAAAAATCTAACTAATATTGAAAAAAATAATGGTCTAAGAAAATATTTTAACAACTAAAATCACAAAAATAACATCTATTAACTTCAATAATAAAAAAAATCTAAGTCAACGTCAATCGAAAAATTATCTTTTTAATGATGTCTCAATCTTAGTTAGGTTGATGTCCAAAACCAAAATCCAAGAAAAAAAATACAAATTTAAGAATATAGAAATTTTAAATTTTTACTTTTTAGGCAAAATTTTAAATTAACTGATATTAAAAATCCAATTACTCTAATAAAATTCTACTATTTTAATTTCTTATAAATTATCTCATAAATATATTTTACCATAAAACATTTCAAATTATCAAAACTAAATAAATTGTCCTATTAAAATTTTCTATCCAGATACAATAAAATTAACAACTGAGAGAAGTTTGAATAACAAATCTAAGATATAACTTGAGAGTGGGCTGGACTATCGTGGGTGGTCCACTTCGAAAAGAAGAACTGAATTAGGGTTTTAAGGAAAGAACGTTGCTGAGGGGTTATTTAACAATCGTCTGGCTTGAGACTTACATATTTACTCTGTTTGGCGGCACACATCGTGTAATTCTAACTTACAGATAAGCATACTGAGTGGGAAGCAATGGATTCGTTCTCAAATCCATCGTCTGGGTCGTCCCAGCAGTTATCTGCGCAGGATATCAGAAAGCAATTGAAGAATCAACTGGCCTTGGAGTATGCTCAACAATTTCTTGAGGTATCTACTTTCGCCTTTTAACTGCTTATATGGATTTCATTGCACGATTCTCAGCCCTCATACTGTTCATGGGATTGGCTTTGTTAAAATAGCGGAAAGCACTGTGGCCAAACGCGTAATAATCTGACTCATAAGCTAATAGTCAGATTCGTTTACAATGAAAACAGTTTGAGTGTGAGGAGAATAGGAAGGACGGTGTGAGAAAGGAGAAAGAAATGTGTCAGGAAAGAGTAAACAAAATGTGCATATGGTTGAGAGAATTGGTCCGGTGTGGGGATTAGAAGATTGACATAAGAATTCAGGAGTGTATAAGTGGCATAGGCTATGAAAGGCACAGACTCTGGATCTCTTCGTATTCTTCTTTTTTTTTTTTTATCATTTGTTGTGTTCTAGCATGCGTTTCTGTTTGTTAAGCAGTGTTTTCTCATGTAAAGAATGTTTCTTTCTCGAGTTCTATACTTACTTTTAGTATTAATGCCAGCTCCTATTATAAAGCAAGTAACACGACCGCTTTAATAAAAAACCAAATTATAGTTTTTATCAGTTCAATTTGGCTAGTGTTAAAAGTTTGGTCTTTATATATCTTTCAACCTTACTATAGAGGAACAACAACAAAAGAAACATGTAAGAAGCCAATTGTGAAAAATTCAATTATGTAGGTCAATAACATGCAATTGATTGTGAAATTTCAGTTAATGCAGATCGATTATGGTTTTCTCATTTCGCAGAAAGATGCAATTGCATTTAGTGATTGATGGGTTTCTTGTTCATGAGTCGTTTTTTTAATAAACATCGGAGAATTGATGCTTTAAATTATTCGTGCAATTGATTTGTCCTATCTATTCATGGTTTGCCTCTGCCAATTGCAAATTCTTGGAAATATATTCTAGATTGGCAATGGTAAGGGATTTCCCTTTATTGTTAACAGGGCTAGAATAAGGTTTCTTTTTAGTCAATTCAGTTTATTAATTATTATTTATGGTTAACAAAGCCCTTAGTATTGGTGAGATGGTTTAGTGACATGGTTGAAGGTTGAATCACTAGTGCATAGTCCTCCATGTTCTAGGGGTTTTTAAAAGTGGTTGTTTACGAAACACTTGTATAAGCCCCATTATGAGCATTAGCTTAGTATCTAACAAGTTTTGCTATTAGAGCTTCAAAAGAAGCCTCATAGAGTTAGAGCTAGAAACACAGGTGCGAGGGACATGCTAGTCGAATCAAACAATTTTGTACATGCTTTCATTCCAAAAATTGATTGGGATTCTGATCATTGGAGTCTCCTTGTGGAGAATCTCTTGAGATAAAAGGAATATTGGATTATCAAGTTACTAAGAGCCACATGAAATATAGAGCATACCAATAATGCAAAGGAAAGCATTAGATGAGATGAAGTTGAAGGATTTAAAGGCCATGAGCTATCTTTTCCAAGCTATTAACCAGTTTATTATGAAAACCTTCACTTAGGAAGAGACTTCCAAGTAGTTGTTGGATTCAGTGAGGTCAAATATCAAGGAAATGATAGGGTGCAACATACTCAACTTCATAGACTTTGGAGAACCTTTGAGTTATTATAGATGACGATGGGAGAGACGATCACTTACTACGTTGAATGAGTCATGGTGGTAGCCATCAACATGAGATATTGTGGAGGAGACATGACGCATGCTAAAGGTCATTGAGAAGATATTATGAACTCACTAAAAATTTGACTACATTGTGTGCTCTATTGAAGAAGCAAAGGACACTAACAAGCTTATGGTTGATGCACTTAAAAGTTCTTTGTATGTTCATGAACAAAAAATATTATGAAGACGGGAAGGAGATGAGCAAGTTTTGCAATATGCATGAGGAGAAAACAAGTAGAAGATGATGAAGTCATGTGGTAGTAAGAGGTAGTGGAGTTGCAAGAGGAAGAGGTTAAGATAGATTCCTCAATAAAGCAACAATTGAATGCTTCAAGTGTCATCAATTAAGCATTTTCAATATGAATTTTTTAAATGGGAGAAGGAAGCTCATTACATGGAACTAGGTGAAGAAGATGAAGAAGAGTTGTTGTTAGTGGTGTATGTAAAAGAAAACAATGTAAAGCAAGAGGATGTCTTGTTCCTCAATAGTGGTTGTAGAACCATATGATCGACAACAAAAAGTGGTTTGACAAGATATATGAAGGATTTTCACATTCAGGAAAGTTAGGCAATGATAAAAGCATGGCAATATGTGGCAAAGGAGATGTCAAACTTGAAGTACAAGGAAGAACATGAGTAATAAGTGATGTGCTTGAGCTACACATTAATCTACTAAGTGTTGGTCAATAACAAGAAAGGGGTGTGACTCTTAATTCAAAATGGAGAATGTTGAGTTACCATCAAGTGAAGGGTCTTATTTATCCACACCTATGTTGATAAATAGGATGTTCTATGTTGTATCTTCTACTATCTTGTCAAATTGTTTCTAAGTAAATTCACTAGAACTTACTTATTTATGGCATCAAAGATATAGACGTTTGAGTTGCAAAGAGATTAGAACATTACAAAATGAGAAGATGGTAAAAGGTTGCCTTAATTTCAGCCTTCTACAAAAGTTTGCACCAATTGTCTAGTTGGAAAGCAAACAAGATAATCAATGTCAAAGAAAAGTGGTTGGAGAGCTTCTCTACATCTTGAGTTGGAACATACAAAATTGCAAGGTCCTATTTCACCTATTTCCAACATGGGAAAAGATGCATTCTCAATTTCATTAATGATTTCAATTGTAAGATATGGATTTATTTCTTAAAGGGCAAGTCATAAATCTTCGTCATGTTTTAAGTGTTTCAAGAAGGTTATGGAGAATGAAACCAATTTATCGCTATGTTGTCTACAAATTGATCAAGGTGGAGAGTTCAACGAGTTTTGCAAGAAGAACGAAACTAAAAGGAATCTCATTGTGGCATATACACCCCTAACAAAATGAGGTTGCAGATGATTATGAACATGATGAGGAGCGTACTTTAAAATAAAGACATTTGTCGAAGTGTGTTTATTGGCGTAAATAAAGAACCAAGAGCCTATTGCATGAATAATCCCATCTCCAAAAAGATTGTAATTAGTAGGAACATAATTTTTGAAGAAGCAGGCTTGGATTGGAAATGGATGTAGAAAATGTTAAACTTGATGTGCTTGTTCAGGAAGTAGGGAAGAATATGTGCAACTTACACTAGAAGAAGTTGAAGTGGAGCTTGAGGAAGAAAATGGATTATCTGTAGTTGCAAGTGAGAGCTCAAGAAGTACACCCTTATTTACAAGAGATGAAGAGCAATAGCTTATTTGGATGGAGAACCAAACAAATTGCCTTTATTTGGATGCATAATGGAGTAAGTGGAGAAGGTCTTTTGGAAACCAAAGATGAAATGATAAACATTGCATTGTTCATGAATAGTGAAGCTCCTCGATAACACTATCCAATTGGAGGAGGAGGGCAATGAAGGAAAATATTGATGCAATAGAAAGAAATCAAGTATGGGAGTCACAAACCTATCTATAGGAATAAATAAGATTAGGGTCAAATGGGTTTTCTAAACAAAATTGAATAGAAAAGGTGAGGTGGTCAAGTGCAAAGCTTGGTTTGTAGCTAAAGGGTATGTGGAATAGTTTGATGTTGATTTCAATGAAGTTTATGCACATGTGGCAAAATGTGATACCATTTGAAGCTAAATCAGAGTTCTAAGAAGTAGCCAACGGTCATACTATCAACCACATAATGGAATATATGGTAGTAGCTTACTGTACGACTTAAGGCATCAAGTTAAGACGAATTCTTGAAAAACATAGACTAAAGACAAAGGTGTTACAATCTTTTGTGACAACTATTCTACTATCAAACTTTCTGAAAGTCATGTCTTCCATGGGTGAAATAAGCATATTGAGGTCTAGTTCCATCTATTACGTAACCTTAATAGTGATGACAAGGTGAAGTTGGTATGTTGTAATTCTTTATATCAAGGGGCAAACGTAATGACTAAACCACGATTAAACCACTCAAGCTAGATACATTCGTGAGACTGAGGGAGCTATGAGGAGTTTTCTAGGTTCCTAGCTTAAACTGATTATACCATGATAAAATGTTAGGATAAGGATTATTATTGTGAGGTTTTTTCGAGGGGAGACACTAGGGAGATATAATCGAAATGAGCTGTGAACAAGCTTATATAAGAGACTAATACAATACTTTCAATCCAAAACCTTAAGGTAATGGGTTTATGGGTCTTTCTATTTATATATTATTCATCTTACTCATTTTTAACCAATGTGGGACTTCATCTCACCTTGAATTCCTAACAATCTCCCTCTCAAGTGTGAGTCTATCCTCATTGGAGCACCTCCCTCTCAAGCGAGTATCTTAATGGTAACCTTTTATTTGTACCACCATTCTACAATAGGACATGCTTTCTTGAAGTGGAAGACTTTTTATACAAGGAACTGTTATACTACCAAACTTTCTGCGAGTCATGTCTTTCATGTGTGAAATAAGCATATTGAGGTCTAGTTCCATCTCTTAGTAACCTCATAAGTGATGACAAGGTGAGGCTGGTACATTGTAATTCTTTTAATCAAGGGAGCAGACATAATGACTAAACCACTCAAGCTATTCGTGAGATTGAGGGAGCTACGGGGAGTTTGGTAGGTTCCTAACTTAAACTGATTATACCATAATAGGATTTGTTAGGATAAGGATTCTTATTGTGAGGTAGGCACTGAGAAGATGTGGTACCAATGAGTTGTGAACAGGTCTATATAAGAGACTAGGACACTACCTTTTAGTCCAAAGCTATGGATTTATGGGTTTACTATTTATCTTACTTATTTTTAATTAATGTGGGACTTCAACTCACTTTGAATTTCTAACACTTATTAGTCAATTCAGTTTGTTATTTACTGTTAATAAAGCCCTGAATATTAGGGACATGGTCGTAGGTTGAATCACTAGTGCTTAGTCCTCCACTTTCTAGTAATTTAGGAGTTTTTAAACGTTGTTGCTTAATCTTCTCCCCCTAGTTATAAAAGGCTTATGTGAGCCCCAGTATGTTAATAAAGAATGTGTACTTCTCTGCAATTTCTGTGAGCATTATTTTAGTAAATTTTAGTACTCTTTTGTTTAGTGTCTTTTGTTTAGTGCATAAATTTTAGTACTCTTTTGTTTAGTGTCTTTTGATTTCCGCAGTTGTACTCATCTTCCACATCGCCATTTATTTTGCAGACAGTGGGAAGAAAGTGTTTTGAGAAGTGTATCACGAAACCAGGTTCAAGTCTTGGTGGAAGTGAAAGCAGTTGCATCTCTAGGTGCGTAGATCGATATATTGAAGCCACCGGCATAATTAGCAAAGCGTTATTTACTTCGCAATGAATCGGACAACTTTCTCAGTTTAATTTCTCCCAACATTTTGATTACCAATTTATAGGCGTTGGAGATTACGTGTCTCCGGGTTCTTTTCATGCATTTTAATATTATATTATAAAACTAAGGCATGTATGACTCGTGAAGTTCAGGCTTATTTTCAAATCTGTTTTCTTAATAATTGTGTATATTATATTTATTTCATCGCATGAAGTTGTCCGGTAACTAAAATAAGTTTTAAAAGAGTTAAAACATAGCATTTTGGAGAAAATAAGATGGATTTGTCTCTTGGATTTCGGTTCCACCTCCCAAAGTTGTGGTTGATTCGTAAACTGGGTGATGATTTGTTGGATTGTTTAATTGGTATTTCTTTTATTTCTTACCCTTAAAATTCAATTATAAATATAGTGGTAGTTAAAACTAGTTACTATCTGAACTTGAAAACTTCGAAGTGCTATGAATATAACGTTGTTAGCCCTCTTTGACATAAGTGGCTGTCAGTATTTTTTAGAGTCCCTAAACCCTAGAATTTAATTTAAGCTATCAAAAGAGTGATTTTTGTGTTTGAACCGTATTGAAGTCTGACTTTACATATTTCTTCTTTCTCGTATTAGATCTTCTAAATATGAAACTATAGATGATCAACTCTCGAAGTACTTTTTATGATATCTATCTTGGTATCTAGTATATTGCTCTACGTTTAGCGTGAAACCTATAAGTGACCACATATAAAACATATGCATGACCACATATAACACATCTGGTCTATTCTTAGCATCTAGAAGTATATAGGAAAACTGATTAGATAGGAAAATCGATTGGATTACAACTTAAGATTAGTTTCTATTTAATCTTAAACTATAGGATAAATGATGTGTTCATTTCACAATCAAGCATAAATCAATTAACCATTTCAAGTGATTAGTTAATCTCACAATCAAACATAAATTAATTAACCACTTTAAATCAAATAAAAACTGTATAAATGAAAGTGTCATCGAATATTAGAGTTTAAATGTGTTACATCATGCTCCAACATCTTTTAATCTTCTAAAGATGTGTCTTTGAATTACAAGGATATATATGAGAAGATTCATTATAGTTTTTCTCTAGAATCACTCTAAGAAAGCCTAGATCAAAGTTTCTCTCTCTCTCATTTTTCACCTTCCTTGAATCTGTCTAAGAAGCTTGTATTTATAGACATTCACATCATGGCTCAAATGGTGGTTCACGGCTTCAGTGTTGAGGTTTTATTTCTTAGTGGGTTTTCTCTATAACTCAAGTTATGAAGTTTTGGGCTAGAGCTACCTACAATTGCTTAATAAATGAAGTACTTTCTCATTGCTCAAGCTTCAATTCGTGGCTTGAGCAAACTTTCTTGAGTGGGTTTTCTCTATGGCTTAAGTCCTCAGCTTGTGCTATAGTTGTGACAAGGTAAATTCATCAAAAAGTGTTGAATTTATTCTATTTTTTTGTCAATTCACAAAATAACTCCTTGGATTCATATGCTCTTGCAAAACAAGTGAAATTAGAAAAAAAGAACATATTTTATACACAATCAAAACAAGACAAGTGTTAATTTGACAATGAAAATTACTAATTTGAAGCACTTATCAATGAGTTGGGAAGACATGGAGAGGAAGTTTTCTAGCTAGATTCTTTCCTCTATCTAAGAATATCAATGTGAATGCATTGCAACCTTTTCTCAAGGACTAAATGAACACATCTGTGAAGCTTGGTTAAGATACAAGGCTTTACTCAAGAAATGTCCCTACCATGGAATTGATGAAGTAGCTCAACTTAACATGTTTTACAGTGGATTAAGGCCACAAACCAAAATGTTGTTGGACGCATGGTGCAATGAGGATGAAGAGGACTACAATTATCACTGAATCACTAGCCATTAGTGCTTATCAAACACAATATGACAAAAATCAACCTTCCAAGAGAGGAATATTGGAGCTAGGAACGCAAGATGCTATATTAGCACAAAACAAACTCATTTCTCAGCAACTAGAAGAGTTAAAGAAACAAATGGAAACGCCGCAACTCGAGCCGAAAACTGACAGCTCAACGCAATAGTTAATGAAATGTGATTTTTGTGTAGGTGAACATCAGAATGACCACTACTCTGCTGTTGAATATGTGAGAGAAGGGGAATTACACTACATCAATAACAACAGAAGGTCAAACAACTATTCCAACAACTGAAGGTCAAATCAAAGTCAATATCAAAGTTGGAGGCAAGATGATGGTTCAACCAACAAGTAATCTATACAATTAAATTACTAATGATAGCAGCCTCAACAACCAGATAGAATATCGAAAATTGAGGATGCAGTGACACAATTCATCCAAGTTTCACTTAGAAACTTGGAAGTGTAGGTTGGACAACTAGCACAACAGTTAACAGAACAACAATAAGCTAAGCTTATTGCCAATACCACAATCAATCTGAAGCAACAATGCAAAACCATCATAACTAGGCGAGGACCTGTCATAGGTAAGGGAATTGATGATGACTTGAGTGTTGAGAAAAAGGGTGAGGAAATTGAAAAAGAAGAGCTGAGACAAAAAGAGAAAGAGAGTGAATCTAAGTATTAAGAATTAAAAGAAGAGAAAGAGAGTGATATTGACTGTGAAAGTTTGAGAGAAGAAAAAAAGGTTGAGTGTGTGCAAAAATCTGGGAAAAAGAGAGACAAGTATTATGTAGAAAAAGAAAAAGAGAGTATTCGAAAAGAAGAAAGAGTGAGTGAAAAAGAAAAAGAGAGAAAGAGAGATCAAGAGAGAATACAAAGAGAGAGAGAGAGAGATTAATAATAAGAAAGCATTCAAGGATGATAACTCTATCACTCGTTTACCATATCCACATGTACCAACCAGAAAAGACAAAGAAAGATAATTCAAGAGGTTCTTGGATATGATAAAAAAAAGTTGCAAATCAACATAACTTTCACAGAAGCTATAGAGCAAGTGCCTACATATGCAAAGTTCATGAAAAACTTGTTGACCAATAAAAGGAGAATCTTAAAAGAAGAGATTGTGGAGTTAGAGGCTAGATGTAGTGCAATCATTCAAAATCATCTACCATAGAAAACAATTGATCTAGGTAGCTTCACACTCCTGTGACAATAGGATAATTAAAGGGTGGAAAAGCTTTGTTAGACCTTGGAGCAAACATCAACCTCATTGTCTATGATAAAAAAGATTGGTGATGTGGAGGTCCTACCTACAAGGATGACGTTGCAACTAGTTGATAGATCAATTAAACATCCTTGTGGAATTGTAGAAGACTTGCTAGTGAAAGTAGATAAGTTCTACTTCCCTCTAGATTTCTTGATTATGGATATAGAGGAAGACATAGAAGTGCCTTTGATACTTGGCAGACCATTCATGAAGACTGCCAAAGTAATCATTAATGTAGAAAATGACAAGTTAAAGGTCAGAGAGTGCAAGGTGACAATGTGAACTTTGATGTTTTTGAAGCTCTAAAATATCTAATTGAGCAAAAATATTACTTTAGAATTGATATATTGGATAGGATTTGCATGGATGTTAGAAGTTCATTTTCTCCAGCAGATCCTTTGTAAAAAGCATTAATGAACATTGAAGTAGGAGGAGATGCTGGAGAAGGTGAAGAAATGAAACAAATGATTATACAACTTGACAGTACAATTGACCTATAAGAAGAACTTGTCTTTTTGGTGTCTTACTTACAGGAAAATGCCATTTATACTACAAAATGCTCTAGCCACATTTTAAAGGAGTATGCTAGCAATATTTATTGATTTGATTGAAAAGAGCATAAAGGTATTAATTGATGACATTTTTGTCTATGGTAATTCATTTGATGCATGCTTAAACAACCTCAATATTATGCTAAAAAGATGTATACAAACCAATTTAGTGTTGAATTGGGAGAAATGTCATTTTATGGTTAAGGAATGAATTGTTTTAGGACATAAAATTTCAGAAAGAGGAATTGAAGTTGCCATGTCAAAGTGGAGGTTATCTTAAAATTACCTCCACCTGTTAATGTAAGAAGGATAAGAAGTTTCTTATGTCATGTAGGATTTTATAGAAGATTCATCAAAGATTTTCCTAAAGTTGCTAAACCTCTTAGCAATGCTGGCCATGGACAATAAATTTTATTTTAACTAAGAATGTGTCACAGCTTTTGAGCAGTTAAAACGAAAGTTGAACTCTACACTTGTTAGCACACCACCTGATTGGAATATTGGATTTGAAATGACGTGTAATGTTGTAACAATCCGATTTCAGAGATGTTTCGGGTTATTAAAAACTGAAAAAATTTAAAATTTATCATAGCATGGAAACATACTTAAAAAAAAGTCTTATCCAATTACATTATTTCGAGTAATAAAATAACGAATGAAATACTCTAATTATATTGTCTTAACTTGTAAAATAATTTTAATTGAATCCCAAGGTTTTTTCACATCCTCTCTCGAGTCTATCATGCCTCTGGAACATCTGCAATATCATTTGCTCACGTATAACACATTATACGATCATCACCGATAATTTCATTCACAAACACACAAACATAAACATGTATGAGGTAAGCTACTGATAAAATAATCATAACAACAAGATACCTACATACTGATTATATAAACCATAATCAATATAACATCCCAAAATATAGTATTTAACTATATAATAGTCATTACAAATTTAATAAAATAGATCAGTTATAAACAAGAGTATAAAGTAAGATTTACAATCATCCAAAATAACCATAAATTTAAAACTATAAAATATAGTTGTGTCAAAAGTATATACAAGAAGCTAGTTTAAAAAGATATAACTAAAGATCTGCAACTCCTCCGTCAAGATCTTGTTCCACATTGATATCATCATCCTCTGTTCACACCCACCGGATGATCATAGTCACATTAGAATAAGAAAACATACAACCAGCACAAACAATAGGGTGAGCTACATTCAAAGACAATTCATATAGTACATTTTTCTATCAAACATCGTACTTAAATCACATAGATCAATTAACTCAAACATCCTAAAACATGCCAAGACATAGATTAAACTATTCAGATTTAGAATGATTGATGAGGTATGAAGGGTTGTGCACTTGTGGTGGCCTCTACTGCTTTGCAAAGTCATTACCAATAGGTTTCACCCTACCACACTCAC